TTACATTATTCCGAAGTCTATGCACCCACTTCAAGGAGTGAAACCCTACGGGCACTATTAGCAGTTGCTGCTCAGAAAGGGTTCAAAGTGAATCAATTTGATGTCTCTACAGCTTATCTTCATTCAGACTTGGCTGAAGAGCTCTATATGGAGCTACCGCCAGGATTGAAAGTTGGTAAATCAAATCAGGTATGGAAACTACATAAATCTATTTATGGACTCAAGCAATCTGCTCATAATTGGAATGAATGTTTGAATGACGTTTTGGTAGGCATTGGTTTTAGCAGGAGCAAGGCTGACAATTGCTTATATTTCAGAGGTTCAGGAGATGCTCAAGAATCTTTGCTTGTTTATGTAGATGACCTGATCTATACTTCAAAGACACAAGAACAAGTAAGAAAACTAGCCAAAGAGTTAAATAAACACTTCAAAGTTAAGAATCTTGGTGATGTGAAGGTCTATCTTGGTGTTCAGATAGATAGGACCAAAAATGGCAGTTTTCTACTGAATCAAAAAGGCAAGATATTGCAAATGTTGAAAAAGTTTGGCATGACGGAGTGTGCAGGCGTTAGAACACCAATGGAAATGGGTTTTGTAAAAGACAATGAGTTCAAGGATAGTGCTGAATTCAAGCGTGCTGAAATCTTTCAGTCAGCACTGGGAAGCTTACTTCATCTTTCGCAATGGAGTAGACCGGATATTGCTTACGCTGTTAACTTACTCAGCAGAGAAGCTTCAAAACCTAGTGTAAATGCATGGAAAGGAATTCAAAGAGTGTTAAGATATTTACAATACACCAAAGATTTTTGCCTTGAATTATCTTCTGAAGGACAAGCACAGATTACTTGTTGGGCAGATAGTGATTGGGCAAATTTAAAGGATAGAAAATCAGTGTCTGGCTGTGTAATAAAATTTGGTAACTCTCTGATTGGGTGGAGATCCAAGAAACAGAACCTGATTGCTTTGTCGTCAACAGAAGCTGAGTTCTGTGCCTTATCTGAGTTATGTAGAGATCTAGAATTTTACAAATGCTTGGCACAAGAGATGTATGAAAAGGCCATCACTCCAATCACTGTATGGGGTGATAATCAACCGTGTCTTAAGTTAGCACAAAATGGGCAGTTTAAAGGTCGTACAAAACATTTGGATATCCGCTTTCAAAATGTTTGTCAAACGGTAAAAGCAGGAATTGTTAAATTAAATTACTGTCCCAGTCATGAAAATCAAGCTGATGGTTTTACAAAACCACTTGGGTTTCAGCGGCATGAAAACTTTTGTGAAGAAATGGGTCTGAAGTAATTTTGTTTTTTGTATTGCCAGCGAGAGGGGGTGTTAGGGTGTGAAACCTAAGACGCTGGCAAGTTAGCAATGTCATGTGACTTTAAGTAGTCAGGCTCGTTAAGTTGTTAAGTTGCTCAGTATATAAAGAGTGTTTGTTTTCTCTGCCTGTGGGGCGTGAAGCAAAAATGTCTGAAAGCTCCGGAGGTGTTTCTGTTATCTTTCTGCAATAAACCTGTCTTTGGAAAGACAGGCTTCCCTGTGTCGTTATTTCTTTGCTGCTGAGACTCTGAAGCTTGTACTGCAACAAGAATCTCTGCACTGGACTTAATTAATGCTCTGCAAAGAGAACTGTTGCTGGTGGCGCAGCGGAAGTGTTTACTGGACCAGTACACAGACTCTCTTAAGATCTTCCATATCTGTTATGCTGGACTGGTGCTCTTCTTTCTAGACTCAAACCTACAGTGTCTAAGCTCACAACTCCTTCTCTCTACTTTTTTGAAACTCTCCTATTTCTTTTCTCCCCTCTCACGCAGCATCCACTGTCCCTAAGGCTCCAGTTTATCAGCAGTTTCTGAATCCAATGCTACAGCTTCCTCTTCTAGCTATGTCTGCAGTCTGCTGTCATGTTCAGATGAGTGACAGCAGCTGTGACTAAACAACCTAGCTTCTTCTTTGGTGCAGCAGGGGGATAGGAGCAGTGGCAGGTAGGGGCACAACACACCGGTTCTCCCTTATGCCACTTCTGCGTTCCAATTTTACCCTTTTAAAAAATGGCATTAGATCTCTATTATTTGTGTTTAATGTATAAAGGTAAAGGTAAAGGGACCCCTGACCATTAGGTCCAGTTGTCGCCGACTCTGGGGTTGCGGCGCTCATCTCACTTTATTGGCCGAGGGAGCTTCCGGGTCATGTGGCCAGCATGACTAAGCTGCTTCTGGCAAACCAGAGAAGTGCACAGAAACGCCGTTTACCTTCCCACTAAAGTGGTACCTATTTATCTACTTGCACTTTGACGTGCTTTCGAACTGCTAGGTTGGCAGGAGCAGGGACTGAGCAATGGGAGCTCACCCCGTCGCGGGGATTTGAACCACCGACTTTCTGATCGGCAAGTCCTAGGCTCTGTGGTTTAACCCACAGAGCTACCCGTGTCCCCTGTTTCATATATAGTTATCCCCTAACTTTAGGGAGTTTTTAATAGAAACTTTGTGAAGAATTGGACCTATGAAATATTTTATGTATGTAAATTATTTTCAAAAGGTACTTGTCAGGCAGACTGTATTGAACAGGTCTGGTTCACATGTCATGGCAAGCCAAACCATACCTTACCAGGACCACACAAACATTTGAGAGGAGGCTGTAGGCATTTTGCTCCTCCCCAGTTTTGTACCCCTATGTCTTTGTACTAAGCTAAGCTAAGCCATGCCAAGGTTTGGCTAAGCTTGTCATTGCCAGAATCCAGGCTCCTCACTAACCTGAGCCCAGGTTTGGAAGACACACTAAAACCTTGCTTAGCTCAGCATGGCGTGGGAGTAAAAAAAATATTGTGAATCAAGGAAAATGTCAGTTATAAAATGCTTGTGACGGCAAAGTAGAAGAACACAGATAAGAATAAAGAGATGACAGTGGGATGTAAAGATGTCAAATGTAATGGAATAATTATGACTTAGAAACAAAAAATAATCAGCGTAGGAAGCAGAATTCCTAAAGCATAAATGCTACGAATTACTTTGCTGCCACGACTTGACTCATTGAAGTGTTCATTGAAGAAAAAGTACAAACACTTTAAATAGGTGAAAAGGCTTCTCTAACCCGAAGACGGATTTTCATTTTAGCTTAAAATAAAATCTAACTTTTTTAAAAAAACAAAACAAAACTTGCTTTGTTCTTATGATGATTCCCTGTCCATGGCTGTAGTCTCTTCACTAGTCTCAGTGGCAGGGGGAAATCAGGGCTTGGGGCTTTGCGATTTCAGAAAGGGCTTGTACATTTCCCCATAATTTGAGCTCTGGATCAAACCCTAGCTTTCACTCCCTGTTTGCAGAGCAAGTGCAACCGTGGTTTAACAGTTCAGGCAAAATGACACACTGATATGCCTCAAACCAAGAAGGTGGGGGGTTGGATGGGAAATGCCAAGGATGGGAAAGCAGGGCCTCTTCAAACCTTCCACTCAAATCTCTTGAGGAGGACTCTCCAAGGGAGTCTTTTTCCTAGCTGGCGAGGAAAGGACTTCTCATCCATACTGGCCCTGGCTATCCCTAGAAGCCCACTTCACCAGTCCTTGAGCCCTGACCCTTACTCCCCACTTCCCTTCCCTTGTAAAAGCAGATGACTGCAGTGATGCAAACAGCTGAGAGGGAGAGAGTCCCCCCTCCTGCCTTCCCTCTCCAGTGCCCTGTGCAGTCATTAGCAGCACACTAGAGCAATGGAACCCATGGCCCATGGGTGATGTAGTTTTACTGAAGGTTGTTCTATCCGCAATAATGGGGGAACAACATCCCCCATTGGGCTCCCATTGTGTGCTGCTAATTAGTGCACTAGAGCTTCAGAGGGAGAGAGTGGGAAACCCCCCCTTTTCGTTGCTGCCATGCCTATCTGCTTTTACAAGGGGAAGGAAAGGAGTTTGTTTTGGGAAGTGGGGAAGGCTTTACATGCAGCTTCTGGAAACAAGGAAGCGTAGTAGGGATAGGTGAGGAGGGGGAGAGAACTCCCCTCCAGTTTGTACTTTAAACTCACACCATCAGAAACTATATTGTAAAAATGCAGCACTGTCCACTTACACACCAAGAAACCACCAATGTAATTTAAAAATGAATGATTTCAGCCTTCTGCAGTGTACTCAGAGTTCACATACACTTCTCACTGGGTGATAGTTCTATAAAAATCAATGGGATGTATTATACACAGCAGAGTGACATAGAAGTAACTTACAGGAATGAAAAGGCACTTTAAGATCTACTTATGTATCACAAATATGATTACTATACAGATGAGCAAGATCAATAGTTCCCTTCTCTTACATATTAGGCAAAGGACATATTCCTTTGTAGTGATGTCACCAGAAAAGAATTATCTAAAGTAGTTAATGTTTGGAACATGAAAAACTTCTGTAACATCCCTGTCCTCAGTACTGTAGTACTAATAATAGTACTCAGCATTTTCTATAGCACGTTACCCAAACTAGTTCAAGACTCCGCATGCACCATTCAGTAGTGAATTCTTAAAACAATCAAGTATTATTGTCCCTACTAATGAAATACCAGCCATTATGGAGGGCACTAAAAAGCCCCTGGAAGAGGAACACATTGCACTCATTCATGGTGTTGCTGTGCGTGAAGATCAAACCACCCATTGTTAGGGTGAATATATACTGTATTCTGTTGACAGCAGAGTTTAAGAAAGCTCTGGAGTTGGCTGAAAATTACTTTCATGAGTGGCTGATTTGAACCAAGGATGCTGATTTGAACCAAGGATGCTTGATTTGAACCAAGGATGACTAGTTCAGAACTGGTAGGCTATACAGCAAGCTATACGTGGCTATAATTCATAATTTTGTTTGCAAAAGCAGTCCACTAAACTCAACTATTAAAACATTATGGCTGAAATTAAAAATAATTGCAGGACAAAGGGAGTATAAACAACAAGCTACTGCGAGTGATGGAGGGCAAGCAAGGAATAGGGTCAAGTCATGAGGGAAGCAATGTTACGGGGATCTGTTTTACCTGAGATCATCTTGTGAGTATCGCCTTTGCAAATCCTCTTTATTTTTTGTTTCTGTCCCTTCCTCAGTTTGCTCATCTTGGGTCCCTTCATTCTCTTCTGCTTCTTTGTTCTCCTCCTTATCACAGTTCTCTGTCACCTCTTCCCCTTCCCCTTTTTCATCCTCCTTTTTCTCAAGATCCTGATTCTCCTCATCTTCCTCAGGGAATATCTCCCCCTCCCCTCCCTCTTTTCTTTCCTCACTTGATCTTCCAAAGTTAACGAAAATTGAGGAAGCATGCAAATAAACAAAAAAGAAGACAGAAGCTTGTTAGGACGAGTGGACAGAAGCGAAACATGCATTCACTAAGGGGCAAAAGAAAATGAATTGACAAATCATACAACAAATGGAATTATGCCACGATGACAAAAAAAGCATGCTGGTTAATTACTTGGCATAGTCTAGGTAATGATAAAGGTATAGTCAGTTTTTCTAGGAGTAACTAAAGGGCAGATATATTGTGCAATAAGCTAAACGAAAATAAACAATACTCAAAATTAGTTCTTTTAAAATTAGTATGGGTAGTTTCCTAGCAGTTAACCGTGTGTGTGTGTGTGTGTGTGTGTGTGTGTGTGTATTGCACATATATGTGCACATTTATGCATGGAAATTCAGCTTGCATTCTGCAAGCGTACATGCACCCATTCCAGCTTGTCATTCTGAAAGTCAATGTAAGTATGAGAAGTGGAAATGAAATTTTCACAACCCAGCATCCATTCTGTGCTAGATTCTGCTAAGAGGCAGTCACTTGTTTCTAGTCCACTGCCCCTGGGGTTGCTTGAAGGTTACTGATGGAGTGCTGAGTCAACTTTCCTGGCTGCTACTGCTAATCTTTCCTTCTCACGAGAGACTGCTTGTTTGTCAGCAGCACACAAGCAACTCATCCTTTGGACTGCCTATGTCTAGCTATTATAACAATGGGCCACTTTACATGTTATAACAAGTCACAGTTTCAAGCCTTGTTCTTGGCTTCCTCTCATGGCTTGTTGAAAAGAGATACAAAACACAAAAACTTGTTTGCACATATCACTAAGCCAGCACAGTACTTAATTTCCTCCGTGGTCAGCAAAGGAGAAGCAGCGCAGATATAGTTCAAATTTCTGATTACTAGCTAATGGGAAACTGCCTTGGCAATTTGGATAACTGTATGAATTGATCATACAGTCAGTCGCTATCATCAGTCAATCCTTTGCAGAATAGTTAAAGATGTGTTATATATACAGGGGTATATATAACACATATTTAAGGGCAGGGGAGAATCATATAAATGGGTGTGATTAATCAAAAGATGCAAAGAGATTTGAAGGGTTATGAAATGCTAAGGCTACTCTAGTCATGAAAGGGAGGATTAAAAATGGCCTCTGTCTTGGCTGTTCTGTGCAATCCTGAAAAAAATCCTGACATTTTTTTGAAACCCCTCAATCACAACTTACTTCCTTTTCCCTGTTACTTTTTTAAAAATACATTTTAAAGCACACAAGCCTTTTATGGCAATTCCAATAGTCTCTTTAATTGTGGAGTTGGCCACCCATGGGCCAATGTCTAAACTACAGACCTACGGTTCATAGCTCCTTAGTTGGTTTGGAGGAATGTGAACACTTGTGATCAGCTGCGCATGTTTGTGTAATCTTCCTTTTTTGACAGAGGAGGCTATATATCACATTATGCTGTAGGCATGCCATGAACATGCAAACATTTCATGTTTTCCTCACCACATCCCACAGTAAGTGTGTACTAGATCTACAGTAGGTTGTTTCTATAGCTCCATGACGTAGACTTATCAAATGCAGCTACTAAGATGTATAAATGAATTTCTAATATCTGTAAAGTACAATAACTAACTTTAAATACTGGTTTGAATTGTCAATAATAGGTTCATTTTCAATCCAGGAAAACACTCCACTGTCGCAGAAAACTAGCATAAGATTTTAAAAAATCTTTTGGGAACTGTGTTACTTGAACCAAGTGGAATCGGTGGAAAGTTGATCTGCTGTTCAAAAATACAACCTTGTAAGTCAGAGCTTTCCAAACTTTTCATGTTCGCGACACACTTTTAGACATGCATCATTTCCCAACACAGCAATTCAGTCTTACTAGCAAACTGGAGGCTAAACTAACCCCTTTCCAGCCCCAGGAGGAGCGAAGGGAGTGTTCATGCGACACACCCACACACTGCAGTCAACACTCTAATGTGTCGCAACACACAGTTTGGAAAGCTCTGTTGGAAGTGGTCAACTTTACAGTTTCTTACCTAATTTTCTTGTTCCCTCTCGGTCTTTCTGACTGTACAGACATATAGCTAGTGCTGCTGAAGCGGGAAGCGCTACTGGTCCTCGATACAGCCGACACGTCGCTGACATCGCTGTCTGAAGACTTGTTAGAGACATTGTCAGAGCCTCGTTGAGGGTCCCGCCCTGGTCGATACTGTAAAAAGGAGTATACAGATGAGTGTACAAATTTAGTCTATGTAGCCACAGTCAAACAACTGCTTACAACTTCTCTGTACCAGTACTGTTGCTGCCAGTTTCACAAAGCTCTTGCAGAATAGGGAGGATTCTATTTATTCAGCAATTACCGCAATAGCAGAACCTCACATAGAAATTTATTACATTTTGTTTACTTTAAACATTCCAGGAGTGCTTTTCAAAGCGCTAAGAGTGGCGTCAATAAAATAAAAAATGCAATTCAAACTAAAACAAGTTGAATGATATAATAACAGCTAAATGATCCATAGAGCTACTACTTATTATTTTTTACCATAAACAGTTTTAGTCCTTGTGCAGAAACCCTGCAAAACCTGAAATGTGTGGGATATGCACTACAATGAAAAAACAATTCCAATGCATTCCTATATTTAACCCCCTAAATGCAAACAAAATGTCAGTACGTGATAAAGGGCCTATGGTGTTTTAAGGTTATTATATACTGTTTCACCAATACTTCCATTTTACAAAAATAAATGTAGCTGTGACAATTCTGTTTATTTTTTTTATATTTTTAAAACTTTGTGCACCACAGCATCTGTGTAGCAACAGTTTCAGAGAATTTATACACTGCTTCTATGTCCATGCTAAAATGCATAATCAGTAAATTCAGTGTCTTAGGCCAACAACTTCCAATTATTTCTAAGGAAGGTGCCATATTCTTCAAAACGAGTATACAAGGAAGCTGGGAATCTTTTTGGCCCTCAACAAACTGATCCTCCTTGCCATGGTCCAATAAAAAACACTGCCAACTTCTTTTTTACAGTGAGGTATAATAATCAAGGACCATGTGTCAATGAGGTGGACTTTGGGACTTTCAAATTTCAGCAGCCCCTGTGTGAGCCAAAATTTGGGCACTCCTTGGTGGCCTCTGTTCTAAGTCACTGTTGCGGGTACCCCCCATGCTGCCCTCCTGGCTCGGTGCCCGGTGCAGACGAAACCGTTTGCAACTCCCCTAAACTTCACCCTCTTGCATGCGCCCTAGGCATAGGTAGAGGATGACGAATTCCACCAACCGCTCCATAAACAATAGAAAAGTGTGACATTCCTTTCAGTTGCCAAGCCTTTTTTTCATTTTCCTTACAGGTGAAGCAACCTCAACCAAAGCTTGATTTAATTTGGTAGGGACACCAGGGGCCAGCTCAAATTGCTTTTGGGGCTACATCCAAACTGTCAGCTGCCAACGAAACAACCCTGCCCAACAGCAAACAGCTTGACATCTCAAGGGTCACCGCAAGTTCTTTTGCTCCTCAAATAGAACTTCATAATTTTTTGCCGCATAAAGAATTTGGCTGAAGAATCTACCTTGGTTGCAGATTGTGATGAAGGAGAACAAAACATATCTATAATCCAGGGTTCAGACAACATGCTACCCAAACCTTGGCTGTACCATATAACTGAACTAAAAGGAGCAGGGAGGAGGAACAAACCAGCTGTCATTTCCTCCCTGGGAACCTGCATCTTCATGGTAAGCCACTGTCTGGATTAAGCATTACATGTGAATACAATCTGTGACTGCCATTTGTATTTAAGGGTATAAGACACTGTGTCTCTCAAACACAAATGCACACATGCAGCTTGTTATACCCTCTGTTTCTTGGGTTTCTTCAGCCACCTATTCTTTATGCCAAGTGCTAAAAATTAAGGGTGGAATTCAAAGTCACATTAAGTATCTTGCTACATTGGCTCAAGGAATTCTGCTTGCACAATGGAACACCCCCTCCCCCTCTCCTTGACCCCCCACACTCCCTAAACCAGTTTTAGGGGTTTCTATAACTCTTTGGAGCAGAATTAGAGAAGGTGCAGTGTGTGTGCGGAGGTGAGAAGAAGAGGGAAAGTTCAACTGTCAAGTGGAATTCCTTGTCGAAGAAGAAGAGGAGTTTGGATTTGATATCCCGCTTTATCACTACCTGAAGGAGTCTCAAAGCGGCTAACATTCTCCTTTCCCTTCTTCCCCCACAACAAACACTCTGTGAGGTGAGTGGGGCTGAGAGACTTCAGAGAAGTGTGACTGGCCCAAGGTCACCCAGCAGCTGCATGTGGAGGAGCGGAGACGAGAACCCGGTTCACCAGATTACGAGACTACCTCTCTTAACCACTACACCATACTGGCTCTCCAGTACTGTTGGGATGCGGTAGCTGAATACAGCCCAATGGGTAGAAAATAGAAATAAAGCAACTATATTTAAGGTTGCAATTGCTGGCCATGGGGTGGGATATGTTGCAATTTGATATAGCAGGCTCAAGTTTAAATCCCTACTTTGTAGCAGAGCTCATAGGATTCTTTTGAGGAAGTCATTATGTGTGATGGCTGTTTATCACAGCCGTATTCATCCCTTGGTCACTTAATTTACTCTATGACACTATTCATGTAACAAAACAGGGTAAAGTGTGTATGCAGAATAGAGGAGGAACATAGTAACAGGCTTCTACCCATTCACTGAGACTTCTGCATCAAATTTTCAGGGATGCAGTTTGTATACAGTAGGCTGTCTCTGCATGATTCGGAAAGAGCTGTGCATGTGCAAGTTGTATGCGCAAAGGCTCTGCAAAGAAGAGTTACTCCTGCTCCCCCATGCATGCTTTCACTCTATCATTTGGTTGCATGAACAGAGCTTAGGATGACTCACAGCTTAAATGTCTGAAATGACTCCACTGAATAGCACTGTTTATGAGGAGACATTACATTAAGTTCTAACTGCGGTGTTAGGGCATGCTAATCTCTTGGATGACTACATTCTTAGGTTTGCTGGGAAAATGAAAAATATAAGCTGCTCCAAACTTTAGGAAATGATTTATATATGCAACAGAATGAGGTGATGGAATCCAGAGGTAGTCGGGTGGGCTGTGCCACTATAGCTGCTCCCACACACAGACCCATTACCAAGCCCATTTTAAGTTGTTAACACATAAGCATATATATACATATATACACATACATACATACGTACATACATACATACATCTATATATCCCTGAACAACTTGGGCTCCTCCCAAATCAATCTGCCCAGGTGTTAAAATCAGCAAGGCTCTGTTAGCACTGCCCCTGCCTCCTGTGGTTAGAGGGGAGGCAACACATGAGAGGGACTTATCTGCATTGGCCCCAGGATGTGGAATGAATTCCTCCCAGGGGCATCTTGCGCCATCACTGTATACTTTTTTTGACAATTGGTTAAGGCACACCTCTTTGCTCAGGCTTGAGTGGATGTGCTCCATTTGGTTAGCTTTGTCGTTTTGCTTTATGATTTTAATATAGCATATACTTGTTTTAATTGTGATATTATGCAACCCACCCTATAACCATTTGGATGGGCCCACAGGTAGAAATAATAAATAATTTTCATGCAAATAAAAACAAAACAAAAACCCATCTAGCACATCAGGGAGAAAGGTTCTAGACCAGGGAAGTTGGGGGGGGGATTAAAAACATGACCTCGACTAATAGGGTCCACTCTATCACTTGAATTATTTCTTATCTCATTCTCACATCATTTTGTTCTATGAACAAACCAGGCCTAAGTCGGACTTTATAACTGAAAACAGAATTGATGTTTGTCTAATACAATGAAGATATCGTATCCCATTTTAAGAATATTCTATAGTATAGTTGCCCCAAGCCAGGAGTTGTCATACGTGATTTTGGTTAGCTAAAGAACCAAATGTGTGTACATTTCTGGGTGAGATGCAGATAGTTGGTCACTGAAGGGCCTTTACAGTAGTGGCACCCTGCCTAGAGAACACCTTACCTAGAGAGGCTTGCTTGTCATTGTGGTTCAAGGTAAAGACTTCTCCTCTCCCCCCACAAGTCTTTTAACTTCGTTTAGTTTGGATGTGGGGTTTTGCTTTGTTTGCCTTTGATACTTCGGTCTTTTGTGCTTGGTACATTTTTATTAGTATGTGCTTATTGTCATTGAATTTTAATTTGTTTTCATTCATCTGTGTCAGGTACCCTGATATTTTCTTGCAGAGCAGCCTATAAACATAGCAAAGGCATTGGAGCCCAGATCAGGATAGCCCCAATCAGATGATCAGCAATATATCATCTGTTCTAGGAGGGAATGAGAAGTATGCAAACAGCTGTCAAGGGACTCAATGTGTGAAATTATTATAGAAGTATTAAAATTTATGAGCTGAAATATAAATTTTTTTTCTATACCAAATCCTGATATAGTCAAAACTACCTGCACTGCCAATATACAACAAGCAAGGAAGTACAGTAAGACTGAGGAATCTGCTGAACCGAAGGTGAGATTCTAGATAAAGAATTATTAATGAGATAGCATTTATTGCACCCATCATACAAAAAGTAAAAACAAATATATGGTACAAAAATGACACATCTAAGTGTGCATATACGTATCTATCTGATCTTCTCAGAAATCAGTAATGTGAAGTTAAGCCAATAAATGAGCACTATTTTTTTTAAAAAAAATCACACCAAAGTGATATGGCTTTTCTTCTTAATTTAGCAAGGTGGACACTTTGTTTCATAGTAAACTTTTAACAGAGTTAGTAGGAAAGTGTTAATTAACTTGGATCATTATCTTTGCATACAATTTACTAGGAGGAGTTAAATATTTGAAGGCTCCTTTGTTCTGCTGATGTAACCCAAAGTTTTTTTGTGACATTCTTAATAGTTTGTTCACTAGTAAGATGACATTTCATCTTTTTATCTATAGCCTGAAACAACAGAATCGTAGGGTGGACACATAAGAGGAGCCTGCTGGATCAGGCCAATGGCCCGTTTCAGTCCAACATCCTGTTCTCACAGTGGCCAACCACTGGCCTGTGGGAAACCCTACAAGCAGGATTTAAGCACAAGAGCACTCTCCTCTCCCGCGGTTTGCAGCAACTGGCATTCAGAAGCATTGCTGCCTCAAAGTGTGGAGGCAGCACTTACTTTCCTTTATCTGTCCTGAATCTTCCAACATTCAGCTCA